AATAACCTGATATTTCCTTTTTTCTGAATATAAGTGAAGTGCTACAATTTGAGTTTTCTTTCGAAAGAAAAAGAGATAGTTCAAATTTTGATAGATAGATGACTCGTCATAATGCTCGTAATGCTGAAAACAATTGCTCTAAAAGCTATGCTAATTAAAATACGCCACCTCACACTACACATTATGCTTGGAATTAAAGGCAGAAAACATGCAGTTTCTGTTATTCTGTTTCTGAAAAGGTAGTTACAACTTCAGATATCAATGATAGGTAAACTTTATCATTGATGGATCGGTCTCTGTTTGTGAAATTGTTTTATAAGAATTATTGCGGAGGATTGTTTCCAATTCAGGAACTACATGTTTATCTCAAGTGTAATTAAGATGACCATGTCATGTATTTTAGTGAGCAAGTCAAAATTAGCACGCCTTTCAAAACAATAAGTTTCTAGCATTTTATTCTGAGACATCAAGTAATCCACATTAAAAAAATTTTTTTCGCTCGAAAAATAATTCTCATTGCATTAAATATACTAAGATTAAATATCAGATCATCTTCACCAGTAGTTCTTAATTTGCAGTCTTTCGAAAGGGCAACCTGAATTGCCAACCTGCATTCCCTTTGGGTGCGCTATTTTTAAACTTTAATGCATTTAAACTGAATAATAGATTTAATATTAAAATCCTATACGTCACTTGCAAAGCCACTCTCAGATATAAATCTCTATTGAAAAATGCTTAATTTGAAATTTAAAACTTCACTTGAAAATACAAAAAAATAGAGTTAATTAAAAAAAAGACATTTTCAGTTTTAATTATCTTGAAATCAAACAGTTTTTCTGGTAGAAGAAGACTATATTTTTTGTAATCTCTAATAAGAAGTTTGTGAAATGCAATTTTTTAAATGCATACTTTATATTTAATGCCTTTAAGAGAATATATTTCGAAAAATAAATTTAAACTTTTAAAGATTATTTGGATGGTTGATTTTTTGATAATAGAACATTATCAAATTAGTTTTTTTTTATCTAAAATTACTCCAAATTAAATAAAAATTTAAAAATCTTTTGATTTTTTAAAAAAAATTCTTTTAGTGAGTACAAAATACTGACTTTATGAACGTTTTTTTAAAATTCAAGATAAGAAATTACAGCATGAAGGTTAAAACAGGCTGCTATATGTAAAGCTAATTCCTAAAAATAAATTAATCTAGAAATACATAAAATCAAATTATGAGTATACAGCTTTAAAAATAATTTATTTAAATCAAATATGCTTTTAAAATTAAAATTGAGCAATCTTTAAAACAGATTTGAGCACAATTACCAATTTTAAAATAAATAGCAACATATAAATATACTACAATGACCTCTCTCAATATACATACAATCTCTCTCTGTATATATATATATATATATACTCTAAGAGCCAAAACATTATGACCAACTCTTAATAACGAGTTGGCCCACCTTTAACCGGAACACAGCTGCTACCCGCCTTGGCATGGNTCAGGGATTGTTCTATGAGGATTATGGGTCCTAATGTGCCCCATGAAAACATTGTTCCTGGGCGAGAAACCATGAAAACCTGGGCGAGCCCATTGTTGTAGATGGAGTGTGGTCATAATGTAATGGCTCTTCGGTTGATATATATATATATATATATATATATACACGATGTTCGAAAACGAGTTTTTTCCTAGGGATTCTAGGGATTTTAACTAAATCTTCTAAAAGGGCTTTAAGGAATTTTCTGGGAGATTATGGAATAATTGATGGCAGGAAGTAGTTCTCACTAAAGAATTTTTCGTATCTTTTAAAGCATTTTTACAACAAATATATAATATAATTTTTTTCTTTTTTATATGCATGATTTTAAGTGATGACATAGTAATGGGTATTAACGTGGAGATTTTTTCAATTTTAACTTCCTCGATAAGAACAAGCATTAATGTAATAAATTAACTAATAAGTAAAAGTATACGGGGCTTTACATAGTACTACAGAATTTTTCATTTCGTTTATCTAAAAGAAAGAAAAAAAATCTTAACTAATGAAAAATGGCTTGGAGAAAGTTATAACTACGAAAAAGAAGGCTCTTGGATTAGATATAGTTTTTGAAATTATCATACCTTTTTTTTATAGTTATTGAATTTAGAAAAATTCAGATTAAAGTGAAAGTTAAAATATAAATTTCGTTTACATTTGTTTAATATCGCTAACTCTTTAAAGGTTTTAAATTATGCAGTTTTTTTTTAAAATTAAAATTTACCTACATTTACGAAAATTCTCATTCAGAACTGAACTGTCAAAAAAGGTGGAGTAAAGTAGGGAAAAATCTAAATATGCTTTTATTCATTTTAATTTAACATACACAAATAAACAACACTGTTTGAATTTTCATTCTAAAATTATGGTAAAATAACCGACAGCAGACTATTTATCCAATTAACTGCAAAGTTGACGGTAAAGAATTTTTTTTACCTTTAAGATTTTGAAACCACTTTCGACTAGTATGGTTAAAAAACCATGAATGCAAAACTATATGTTTTTTAAACCATTTACAAAGACTATGGCTTCAAAAGAAACTTAAACGGACATTGGGAATAATTTAGCAGATTTATAGCTCTGCTATATACGTATGAAAGTATCGTATTCTAATAGCCCAGGATCATAAGCTGGGAAGTGCAGTACACCGTTGAAGGAAATATTTTGTTGTTGTTGTCTTGTTTTTTAAAATGTATTGTTGGAAATATTTTGGTCTCAACAGAGGAAGACGAACTTCTAGGAAGTTCTAACGGTCATGAGATTGTCCGTTTTGCGGATTGTCATGAGATTGTAGTTTTCGTTGGTATAATATGTACCCATCTGCAGTGAACTAATTGGCTTCATTAGGTGAGCCAAGTTGGTGAGATAAAAGTCTGGTTGTTTAACTGTATTGGATAAAAGCAGTTAATAAACGGTATTTCTCACTGTTAACAGTTTAAATACCATCTTATTTAAGGTTGTTTGACTGTTTTATTTGAATATGGTAATATAACATTTAAATAAATTGCTATATTACCATATTCAAATAAAACTATATACATGTAAAATACGCGCGTTATTTTATATTCTCTTTTAATTTTCTTTGGCAAAATTATGACAATACTATTCTGCAATCAGCAGTGTTTGAAAAAGTATTTTAATTGTACGCAGTAGCCGGTTTTTAGATTTTTTTATAAATATCTTAGTTTTTAGGCAATTAACGCTGTAAGAATTTTTCAGAATCTTTCAAATCAGTTTTAATTACCTTAAACTGTAATAAAATAAAATTTTTAAAAACATAAAAACTGAGAAATGTGTACATTTAGACTATTCACTCAAAACCACAAATCGCATTTTTTTACTTCTTTAAAATTTTGAGGAAAAATTCATGGATGCACTAAAAATTATCAAGCGATATTTTTCCTAATCAAATAAATGACCTCTTTATTTTTTACCTTTTTTTAAAGGTATTGTGCCTCCGAAAAGTACTATATAATCTAAAGTTTGTTAAATACAAAAAATATCAAGAGTACCCAAATCAAAAAATTTATCTGAAATCCAAGATGGCGAGGGTAGATTCCTCATTAAAACTATCTAGTAATTACAAAAAAATGGTAATTCCAGATATAAATGTTAAAAACTAAAATGGTTAGTTTAGTTTAGCATGTTTATACATATTAAACATATTTTAAGTTTTAGAAGCATAGAAAAGTGTCATAATTTTTTTTGTATTTTTAAAGTGTCCTTTACATTAGTTATATCATTTATATAGTTCCGTATATTAAAATAATGAAAATAAATGAGTGTTGGCACATTTCACTTTCTTCGACCCCTTCGCATATAAAATATCGATGTCATCTAAAAATTTAGAAGAAAATAGCAAAAAACTCAAAATGTAGAAAATTAAAAGAAGTTCGTTTCAAGTTTGGACAAATTCTGAATATTAAAAACTCAAGTAAACTGTAAAACTTTCTGGATCAAACTATGGTAAAAAATACCGGGTACCGGTATTTTTTTACAGTAAAATCCATTTTTTTCTGGAACATGTTACATATATAATAATTTTTAATTACATAATAATTTTTATAATAATAATTACCATAAAATCAATTAATCATTTTGATTAAATAAATATTACTATAAACATTATGGTATAATATTTTATGGTAAAAACAGATTTTTCGGATGATACACCCAAAGCGTCCGTACTTTATTCCATAATTTGATCTGGAAGTTTTTACAGTATAGTAATTCCAGGTTGGTATGTTTATGTACATGAAATATATTTTAAAAATTGCATAGTAGTAACTACATATAAGTTCATGCATATTAAAATGCTGTTTCACTCACATCATTAGTTTCATTTTTATAGTTTCATACGCTAAAATATTTAAAATAATTGTGATGCCAGATTGAAAATCTAAGAGCCCATAACTATATATATTAGAAAAAATGATATACTACAGTAAAAATAAATTGTAAACAAAGCAGCTTTATAATTACAATTAGCCCCCAATAATGCTAAAAACTTGAAGTTATTAAAAGAAAGTTTGCACTAAGAGCTTTGGATTCATAGATTTGACGAAAGACTAAAAATAAGCTTGCTTTCGCTTTGAAAGATTATGAAGATGGAATTGGGAAGTTATGGCATATTCTAACTGATTTGACGCTTCATAATATGAAATATAGATGGCAGTAGTATACTGTTGTACTTTTATTCTAAAATTCGCAAGAAAAAATGGGTTCATTTTACGTTCGGACAAATTTTGAAAATTTAATATGGAGTTTAAGTATATCCAAAATCATTTGATACTTCAGAAAACCAAATATAGATGGCAGGAGTATACTGCCCCATCAATATCTTGAAATCGGTTGGGATCAGTAGTTTTTATTCTGAGAGCCTCAAATTTTGTGCTAAGATTATAAAACACAATTAAAATGCAGTCTTTAATTGTTAAAATTGCTTCTCTTTTCCAGGTCGATCAGTCGAAAGGCGCGAGACCGAAGGTAAGAAATCCAAAAGAAGCAAAACGTAGAAGATTTGTTATGAAGCAAGCAAAGACAATCTCTAAGCCACAACCATTAGAAAGCGTGTCAGAAACAGAAGAATCTCAAATACTCCTACCAAAAGCAAATCCTCTTCAAACGGAGATAAGTCCTAGCAAGAAAGGATCAGAATTTTTCGGCGTTCGGTCTTACGTCCACACGTTTTACGAAGCAATGGCAATGGACAATCCACACGGATATGAAGACATCGAAAACCCGTTCGGATATATCATGCCGGTTAGGAAACGGAGGAAACAGATTTTGTGCTGGAGGATTCTCTTTGGATCCGGTTTGTTCATACTTTGCGTGGGTCTCGTCGCTCTTTTAGTTGGTTTTCTTGTGCCAAAGAGGAAGGAGATTGTCGATTCGCAAGAGGACATTGAAATCATCGATCGCTATGACCAGGCCTTTAACCAAGATCTAGACACCTGCAAAGTGGTTGGTATCATACTATTCTGCACCGGAGGAATACTTGTTACAGTGGTACTGCTGGCATTGACTGTGTTATGGAAAAGTAAAAGAGACGACCCCTTATCGCTCGAAGAGTTGCCACTTACCACCAAAGAAATAGATCAGATCCCGAACACTCCTATGGATGTAAAGGTACCAGCGACTGAAGAAGTAAGTGCAGTGCAACCAAAAAGAGTAGATCCTGATGAGGTTGTCATGACCAATGCTGGACTGTGCAAGATACCATAAAAATAGGCTTCGTTACCGTTTAGATGTAAACATTTTGGTAATTACTCATAATGATCTCAACAGGTCTTTAATGTTTTAAGTAACTGTTCGAAGTAATTCTGCGCTGTTACGGAGCAATTCTGTGAGAATGCTTTAATTATGTATGCTCGGAGACTTCGGCATTTACTTACTATGTTCTTAAGTTAGTAGTATTTCTATTTTTTTCAAGTTTTGTAGCAACGCGATCCTTTTCGAAAGTCTAATGCAAAACGGTTTTAAGAAATTGAAAGCAATCTCTGATAAGAAAAAAAAAATTGATATGATTAGTTGTTACGCAGTGAATAATTGCAGTACAATCGGACAAAATAGTAAAGAAACATTTTATGTAACTTTAAAATAAAGAATGTTTTTGGTAAATTCAGTAAAATATTTGCGTTTTCTCTAGACAAAAACTTTAATACTTCACATGTGTAAAAAAGAAACTTCAGAATTTAATTAATTTTTTTAATGAAAATGTAGTAGTTCTAGCTTACCCTTACGAAATTTAGTTTGTAATTTGAGGATACTCTTCGAAATCTCTTTCGTTCTATGTAATAATGCTTTTTAGTGAAAAATGTATAAAATTTTTCAGAGTTATTTGTGACCTACATGTAAGATATACCATTTTGTAACAGTTGTTCATCGCTTTTTAGTTACGTTTTGGCTATTATTAAGAATGTCCTGTATTGCCTGTCATGAAAGTATCTCAAAATGCCAAAGTGCAGAAAAGCCACAGTTTTATGAAAATAAAAAATTTCTTTGATTTATTTTTTCAATTTTCAAAAAGTAGACCCGTGGGGGCTCAGGGGATAGAGCGATCGCCTCTCAATCGGGTGACCCGGGTTCGAATCCTCACCCGGCTTTCACAGACCACAGTGCTGACGTAAAATATCCTCAGTGCTAGACGGATCATGGATTAGAGTCCCCTTGCCGTCAGGCTGACTGTGGGAGGTTTTCCTCTCCCTGTAACGCAAATGCGGGTTAGTTCTATCAAAAAGTCCTCCACGAAGGCGAATTCCTTTCGATACTTGATCCAGGCGTTCCCTCGTCTTTTGGATCGGGTTTAAAAGTACAAGTTACGGAGCTGATCATTGGTAGCCGTAAACTCAAAATTGGGTTGACTGTTCAACGACGGTTATAAAAAGAGTTGTGAAATGTTCAAAAAGTAACTTCTATTCTGTTTTGATTAAGCTTATAGAAATAAGCAAGAATTCAAAACTGCATATTTCCGAATATAAGCCTATCCGTTAAAAGTCGAAGAGTAGTTATTATTTAATTTTATTTCGGAAATTCCCCAGAAATTTTACTCAGAATTCGAATTTGTATATAAGCTGACGTAAAAAAATTAAGTATTCTACGTTTGGAAATAAAAAATAAGCTCCCTCTCTTGTTATAGCGGTTGCAAGCGTGTAAAAGAAGCAAGAACTTTCCGAATTCGCAATCTAGAAGATAACAAAATAATAGTTCGAATTCTTCTTTCAATGTGTTTCTTTTTAAATTTTTATCTTTAATCATTCCGCCTACAACAATTATTTTCCGCCTTCAACAATTATTTTAAGCATGTACGTTTCGCGATATTTACTGATAATCGCTAATGTTCGACAAAAGATATTTCTTCTGGCGATGGAATTTTCCAAAGTTAATGGATTCGATTACAAGTCCACTCCCCAACTTCAGCTTTTGAAAATCTTTGGCTTATATTCGGAAATACGGTATTTATTAAATTTTAATGATTTTCATCTAGACGGAAAAGTTTAAGCAATTTAACGAGTTTTCTAAAAGAATAATATTTTTTTTAAAAGTATTTAAGATAATTTAGGCTTTAATAATTATTTTAAACAGGACATCTATTGTTAAAAATTAGACTTTGGTTTAAATTAACTTAAACAATGACATTTTTCACTTTGGCGAGAGAGTTTTTAAAGATTACCTTTAAAAATAAAAAGATAAACGATAATTAAGGATAAGTTTACGTAATCCTAGCGTAATTTTATTTACTTTACATCTGCAGACAAAACCGCTTCCTAGGAGGTGAGATTGTTTCACTGTTTTGAAAAATGGGAGGTAGGATAGTAAATGGTTATAATTTTCTAAGCAAGCGTTAAATGGTTGATTATCTTTTATTGGAATTAAAATATTTCCTCTAATCACAATTCCTTTTCTCCTTTCTTTTTAAATCTTTTTATTTTCTTTGTTAAAAAAAGCTTTGTAGCCAGGAAAGAATCTCTTACGAAGAATCTCGTCCGACTAGTTTCAAAAATTTTTTTGGAAAAAATAATATGAAATTTTTAAAAAAAATAGTTTAAAGTAAAACCCTAGTAAACTAGTAAAAAACTAGTAAATTGTTCGTTTTATTATGGGCAGAAACTTAAACTAGCAAAAAAAATATTACTTTTTAAACAAACATTTTTTTATTAAAAATAGGGCATTTTTTTGCATACATGCTAAACTCTGTAAAAAAATTCCTATCGCCTTAAACAAAAAATCATTTGAAGATTTTATTTAGAAGACTAACAACTATGTTTTGAACTATTATAATAAAAGCAAGTGCATGTACTGAGTTAGGGATCAATGTAGTTAAACAACACATTTTTAAAAATTCCCGCTCTTGTTCCTGTGAAAAAACATGCATAAAAAATTAAATTTTACTTTTTTCTCTTAGTCTGTAGTTAAAAACAAGTGTGCTATAATCATAAGCACCCATTAAAAATTGTAGACAATTATTTTAAAGTTAACATGAGAAATCATGTTTAAGGTAGTGTAAAATGTGAGTAAAATATGATTTTGAGATAATCTCATTTAAGACTTAAAATCATTAGTCTATTCGTCATCATTTTGCATAAAAACTTATAACTTAGTAAGTAATCGGAGTACATACTAAAGTAAAATATTTTTAGAAAGCTACAAGTACAGGAATTTTAAATTTATGATGAACTCATTTTCGAAAATTTTACCCGAAATTATGTTTTTGCACTAGTCAGATACTATAAAATCTTTGGGATGCGAAAATCAGGCTATTAGATTGAAAGCAAATCAGAGTAATAATTTGCTTCTGTGTAATTTTCTATTAATCGCAAAACTATATTCCTTTAGAGTGTTTTTTATATAGGATTGTAAAAGTTTAGCATTTATTTAAATTGTAATTATTCTATTATTTATTTAAAAGCTGATGTGTGATTTTCCCGTGGTGCTTTTTAACATGTCTAATTAAAGTGTTCCTCTGGTATTTTGTGGACATTGATATTTTATATATATATATCTCTTGTACACACTTAGATAAATGTATATGTCTATATTTAAAAGTTAAATCTATTTACTAAAAAGATATACATTTATGAAATATTTGATCATTATATTTGAAGAAGAAATGTTGTAATGAAAAAAGTGCATTGAATTTTCCAACATGTAAAATATTCTACCCCTTATACTGTTGCGCAAGATGTGTTAATCTTTTATCGGTATCAATATATTATGAAATGTTGTGAATGTTTATGTAATAAAAATGTTTGACTTTATAGTTTTATTTAATTATCAACTAAGGTGTTAGAGAAGTTAAATAATAATAATTATTCACTTTTTCAATATAAGTTTAACGGAAGAGACTGAATATAAAAATAATTTCACTCTTCTTATTTTTATACTTTTAATAATTCACTCAGTAGAGGTGAAAGTTTAGAATTAAAATTTTGACGCATTTCTGATTAGCCAGAGCACTTAAATCTTTTCTGGTGCTCTGACAAAGAAAGTCACACTTTTTTCTTAAATATATCTAGCAAAATTTGTCATCAGTCAAAATTTTGACTGCTTTTTAACGCAAATAAATTAACGGACACAACCTTTAAAAGAAAAAAATATATAAACAACAGAAAAAAATATATAAACAACAGATAGGTGAAGAAAAAATCATAAAAAAAATATATAAACAACAGGTAGGTGAAGAAAAAATCATAAAAAAATATATAAACAACAGGTAGGTGAAGAAAAAATCACAAAAAATATATAAACTACAGGTAGGTGAAGAAAAAATCATAAAAAAATATATAAACAACAGATAGGCGAAGAAAAAATCATAAAAAGCACATAAGCAACAGATTGGTGAAGAAAAAATCGTAAAAAAATATATAAACAACAGATAGATGAAGAAAAAATCATAAAAAATATATAAACAACAGATAGGTGAAGAAAAAATCATGAAAAAATATATAAACAACAGATAGGTGAAAAAAAATCATAAAAAAATATATAAACAACATATAGGTGAAGAAAAAATCATAAAAAATATATAAACAACAGATAGCTGAAGAAAAAATCATAAAAAAAATATATAAACAACAAACAGGGGATAGTGAACAAAAAGGAGAAAAAAAAATTGTAATTTTGTCAAAACGTGCGATACATCACTTTCGTAAAATCTTTTATCACCCACGACAATTCTCACCACGTCGAAAGTGATACTCACGATATCGTTCTGTTTAGATGAGGCAAAAACATACTTACTCTTTCCTTTTTTTAGCCCACCGGAGGGAACATAGTTTCCAAAAACTTAATTTTATTTCATGTTTTTCCTCTTATTTTTCTTAGCTCATTTTCTTACTGTAAAAAATTCAAGATCAAATTACAGTAAAATGTACAGATACTCTGGGTGCTGGTACTTTTTACCGTAAAATCCAATTTTACCTGAACATATCAAGGAACAAAAAATATGATTTACCGTTATTTTTACTGTAATAATTACGCATGAACCCGAGTCCGGATATATCATCATAAGTCACTATTGTGACATTTTATTACTAACTGTTTCTTCGCATGTTTCTGATCAAGTAGCAATAGGATAGCGTCCTTTGCCACCGTAAGACGACATTTTCAGGTATGTAATCCTTTGTAATTTTTATCCTGTAATTCTATTTCTATTCCTTGGGCATTTTTCTTAAAATGATTTCATAAAGGCAACCGTAAGGTTAAATATATTATTAATATAGGATCTAAACATAATCAGAGGTTTCAAAACTCATCACTGGTTGTAAAAAGGACTAACTGGGCTGAACCTCTTTAACTTTTCCATGGTTCCCTATTGTTCCGCGAAGCATTATTTGAGAACCACTGCCTTAAGCAACGACTGTCGTATACTCTAACCATTTTATGTTTGTAAAGAATTATACTTTTATTTCTAAAAAAACTCATTTTACCTATAGAAATAATTAATTTTATCAAGCACTTTAAGAGAAATAGTTCTGTTTTGAAAATAAATATTATCAAAATTGTTAGATACATAGATCATTTAATTCTATTTGTTCACACTGATGTATATTAATCATCTAGTATTTAATTTTATTATACTTCAAATAGTTAATAGTTAAAGTTGTGTTGTCCGGCATTTGGTTAACTATAATTTTTTTAGACAAGTATATTGCTATTTAACTCTTGTTTCTTAATTCTTATTAGTTAACTGTTATTTCTTTAAACAAAATTCCTAGAATAGTGACATTCCAAGAAAAGTGACATCGCAAAAACACAAAAGTAACGAGATCAGTTATGTGAGAGTTACAATACTATTAATATTTTTTGGAAAAAAAAATCTATTGTACGTATGAGATTAAATCTTACTTTCAATATATTTTTTTCACATTTGTTTTTATAGCACAAGGATTGCAAATTTAGCTGTCGTTCATAAAACTTAATTTAAAATTATTAATGATAAAACGGTAAAAATTTTTCATTTCTCTAATTAAATATTTTTAAAATAGTCTTTTATATAGGTTATAACGTTCACAATTACCTTAAACTTTATTTATAAAGATAG